TTGTCCTCATCTAACTCTGCTTGTGTTATTTCCATCTTCACAGCACTGACCCTGGAGTTGCAGGTTCCAGGCGACAGGCAAGTCACCTTGAGTCAGAATCAGACAAAGATGCAGCTGACCTGGGACCTGGCCCAGAAACCCGGTCACCCAGGTAATGGCCAACATGGTATCCATGGCACTGAGGCCTCCTGGTAGGAAAAGATGTCATATAAAAACAGAGTTAAGCCGGGAGACAGTGGCTCAAGCCTGTAACCCTAGCCAGTCAGGAAGCTGAGATCTGAGGATGGCGGTTCAAAGCCAGCCCGGGCAGGAAAGGCCGTGAAACTCTTATCTCCAATAAACCACCAGAAAACTAGAAGTGGTGCTGTGACTCAAGTGGTAGAGCCTTGAGCTGAAGAGCTGAGGGACAGCGCCCAGGCCCAGAGTTCAAGTCCCACAATTGGGGGGGGGGGACCAACTCTGGCAGGAAATACTGCAAGAATCTTATCTCCAAGTAACCACTCAAAAACAAGAAGTGGAGCTGTTTCGCAAAATGGTTGGGTTCAGGGCTGGGAAGGTGGATCAGTGGTAGAGCGCTTGCCTTGCATGCATGAGGCCCTGGGTTCTATTCCTCAGCACCACATAAGCAAAAAGAAAAAAGCCAGAAGTAGCACTGCGGTTCATGTGGTAGAGTGCTAGCCTTGAGCTGAATTGCTGAGGCAGAGTTCAGGCCCCATGACTGGACCAAAAAAAAAAAAAATCGGGTGCAGTGGCTCATGCCTATAATCTCAGCCACTCAGAAGGCTAAGATCTGAAGATTGCGATTCAAAGCCAGCCTGCAAAGGAAAGGCCATGAGACTTATTTCCAATTAACTACCCCAGTAAAAGCATACACAATTTAAGGGAGCATGGGAGAGGGGTGAGGCCACAAGAGGAAGGGTCCATCTGAGGAGGAGACACCCCGAGCTCATCCTTGCGCTTGGCCCACAGGCCCCGCCATGGTGGGCCTCATCTCCATTCCCAAGATGGGCAAGCTGCTGGCTGAGGCTCCGCTGGTCCTGGAGCCAGCCCAGGAGGCAACTGCTGAGACAAACTGGGGCCCACACCTGACACCAGCCCTGCTCTCCGATGTCATCACAGCCTTCCTGAGCCACCGGGACACGCAGAACCTCAGCTCCCCGGTGACCTTCACCTTCTCCCACCGGGTGAGCGCCGGTGGACGGG